GAGCCGACTCGCTGCAAATGCACCAGTTCTGCTCGTCGGTGTCGTTTGTAGGTCTCGGGAAGCGCCGGCCGCTGAATGTGTGGAACAAAACAGAAGTAGTGCGACGGCCGTGTGGCTCCGGAGGGACTCGGCTGACGGCTGATGAATTGCTCTAAGTGATGAAAACACCACAGATAGCATGAAATACTGCAACATGTTGGGCTGATGCTGCTGCTGCCGCCTATTTATAGGTCTGTGAGTAAATCCAGCCGACGGTCCTCGAGCTGCCGTGTGAAGCTGCAGGTCTGAGCACAAATCCAACGATTTTATTTCAGGCTTTCATCAGAAATGCTCACGCAGGAGTCGATACTCTGCACATTTACAGCTTTATGCATGTGTTATGAGGATTTACTACAGCGTGTTTACCTGCTTTGTCCTCACCGGGGCTCGTTTTTTATACAAAGTCCTGCAGCTCTGAAGGAGGAGAGAGAACTCAGAGACGTCTTCAGTCAGCAGAACTCAGTCAGAACCACAGAAACACTAAGAAACAGGAAGTCTGAGGTCACTTTGAAACGTGGCTGAAATGAATAAAAACGTCTCCAAAGTTACTCCAAAAACCTCGCTGAAATGAATAAAAACGTCTCCAAAGTTACTCCAAAAACCTCCAAACAGTTTAAGGCGAGAATCAGGAGCAGTTTGTTGGCAAAGCTCCAGTTATTTTTGGAGTTTTGTCATTTTGGGTTTTTTTTTTTTTATTTTATTTTGTCATTTTGGACACGTTTTGATCAATCTGGGCTTTATGGTACAACTAGAGTTCAATTAACCATTAAAAAAAAGACAAAAATTGATTAATCAACATGTCCACAGTTGATATCATTTAATAATTAAAAATGTTTCGTCATTTTCTAGAAGACAGACGTCATTCTGGACGTTTTTTTGAGTCAATTTGGTGATTTTAAAAACGGTTTATGACAGTTTTATGCCAAATTAGGGCTTTTTTTGAAGCAATTCTGTAAAAACATTTGTCATATTAGAGAGATTTTTCCAAAATGTTTGA